GTGCCATTTCCGGCGAGCGCGGCGCCCCGGCAGCGACCCGAGCTGTTTGGGATCGTGCGGGCCGCCCGGCTTCGCGTGAGTCGCTGCGGGAACCGGTCCCGACCTGGACGCTGCGCCCTGCCCTCCTGCCCCGGAGCAGGACCCCGAGTGAGCACCGCCCGAGCCTCCAGCCATGGCTTCTCTGCTCGCCAAGGACGCCTATCTGCAGAGCCTGGCCAGGAAAATCTGCGCCCGGCCCAGCCCGGAGCCGCAGAAGCGCAAGTCGGGTAAAGCGCAGCCCGGGGCCGGGACTGGGCGGGCTTCGGAAGGGGGTGCCCCCACCCCCCGTCGCGGCGAAGTCGGAGCCTTGGGGTGGACTAGACACGTGTAAAATACTAAAAGGAAATATAGGTGATGTTTAAAGTCACCGGTGTTTCCCCGGTTGCCGGGGGCATCAGCCTGGGGATCCGAGGGTTTCAGCGCCATCTGCCCACCGGGCAGGGAGCACAGCCGGGGTTTGGGGGACGTGACCGTGCGGAATGGGGAACGTGAGGAGAAGAAAGGATTAGAAGATAGCTCCTTGAGTGGGGTTTCCATGGCCGGGATGACGAGGCTGCCCTCGGGAAGTAGATACACAGCAGGTGGAACAGATAGAAACGGGCCTGCTGGGACTTGTAAGTACTGCCTGGTCCTGGAGGAGGACAGCAGCAGGGTCTGGCATGGAGCTAGCGGAAGATAAACAACTTTTCTTTTTACACAAGGAAAATAGATTCATTATAGGAAATTAGAAAAAATGAGTTTTCTTGTTGACGAGACATAACCGAAGTCTCTGTATTTCCGTGCATTTCTAGTTGTTGTTTTTCCTGTCTCACCAAAACAGTTTGGTTCCTATGCTATATACTCATTTTTCCACTGAAATGTAAATAGTTTATCCAGCTCTTAAAGTGAAAGCTGGCGTCATTATTTTTACGGTTAGAGTGGCTGGCTCTGCAGCAGTGCCATCGTTTGTTCCTGGAGATGGGTATTTAGGTTTTTCTCCTATTATTTCACTTGAATGACATCGTGATGAATATCCTTGAGGCCACATCTTTGTGTGTACCCAGGATGAGGTCTCATTGCTGGGTCTAGTGTGGGGAAGTTGATCAGGGTTTCGATATGTGTGGCCAATCTGCTTTCTCTAGGAAGTTTGTGATTCTGAGCTCTGCGGATAGGGATCACTGGATCCTTCATCCTGGTTCGCTTTTGGCATCTTTTGGGATCAAAGCCTTTGCAAGACCTCTTGCCTATTGAATGGGTCACAGAGATTGGGACTGCATTGCTGTCTCATTTTGTATTTCAGTGGGCAAAACTCAAGGCTCAGAAGCTGCTGGACCCCCAAAAAAGAAGAGGAAGAGAGCACAGAAGAAATCCCGGGAGCACAGAGAGAAGTCGGTGGAGCCCAAGCCTCGAGCCCTGGGGGAGAACTCCCAGGCAGCTTCCCAAGCCAGGAAGCCAGCAGCAGCCAAGGAGGAGAAGACCTCTGGCTCTTCTGGGTTACCAGCAGGTGAAAAGCTCCAGGATGCTGGGCGGGGCCAGCTGGGATCCATGCAGACACAGTCCTCTCTAGTAATAAGAAAAGGCATTGTCAGGCACACTGGGATAATGGGAGACTTCCCAAAGAAAAAGCTTTCAGAGGACAGGTCACAGAGGCTTTTTGGGTGGATGGGATCCCAGGGAGTACACAGTGGTTCCAGGCCTAATGGTGACCAGGATCTGGTGCACAGCAAGGCTGTAAGGACCTAGAACAGCTTGGCTTCAAGAACATCACTGCCTTCAAGTTTCTGAAGGGGCGTCGTGAAAGCTGACTTGTTCAGGGGAACCATAGGCTGCAGAAGCTGAAGAAATGGGAGATGGATTTGGCTTGACCTGTAGGAAGCATTTTATCATGACACACAAGGATGTCCTGTCCCTGAGGATGCTCTGGGGGCCAATCCCAGTTGAAGAGGCAGAGTAGAATTTATTGGAACTGTCATGCAGATCCATCAGTGGCCACCAGGGGAAGCAGTGCATGGAGACTCTGAAGCCGGGCCCTTGGAAGGGGACTGAAAAGTCAGGGGGGATCTCCTTTCAGTCCTCTGATTCCTTTTTTGCAGATGGCCTGGCCGCAGAGCCCGACTCCTTCTTTGCCCTGGATGTTCTGCGGCAGCGGCTGCATGAGAAGATACAGGAGACCCGGGGCCAGGTAGGTGTGGGGAGAACTCGGGTGCCAGGAGCAGCGTGTTTCCTACGGTGGTTTCCCCCTCTGCCTAGAGAGGAGGTGCACTCTGCAGGGTGGGTCCCCAGCTCTGCTGGCCATTGTGGGGCTGACAGGAGGGGCCTCAGCGGCTCTGGTCTACAAGAGATCAGGTGGTATCATCTCAGGGAGCCTCAGTCCCTGGAGTCACTTACATTTTGCTGCCTAGGAGAGGCTTAGCCTCTTCCCTCTGGGAAGCCACCTTTGCTGAACACCACACCGGTGGCACTTCTGTCCATCTAAATGTCACAACAGCCCTGTGAGATAGGTGAGGGCCTGGGATGAATTGACTTGCCCAAGGTTACAGCCACAGCAAACATCAAGACTTGAATCAGTCTCAGCTTTTTCTGCTGAAGGCCATTGATATCCCTCTGACTCAGCCACCACTGCCCTTTTGCTGGGGACCTCTCTCAGGCCTCTTGGTATGTGGGGACAGCCCCCCAGCTTCTTTCCGCACTGCCCTGGGGCAAGCCCAGGTGCTGGTTCCTACTAATGCAGGCTCTAGGCCCTGCCTTCCTGCAGTCCGGTCTGGAGCCCTCGTGTTGGCCCCGCAGTGGTAAAGGCTGTCGGTTAAGCAGAGCTTGGGCTTGTCACCACAGAACAGTGCCGTGATCCCCACAGGAGCAAGTTCTGACCCAACACCGAGTTCTGAGTGGTGGCCTTGGCTAAGCCACCTGCCCCACATGCTTATAAAGTGGTGACAGCATCTCCCATATTGGGTCACTGGGAAGATTCTGTGAAACTGAGTTTGTGAAGTGCCTTGGTCAGTGCCTGGGAACTGGAACCATGATTCTTACTTGGGGGTCTCCTTTTCCGTTTGGGGTCAGTTGCGTTTTGGGTGACAGGTCATCTCAGAGTGGAACGCTGAACTCAGTGGGCCCTGGTCCTACACAAGGGTTTCCTCCTAAACCTTCCTGCCCTGATTCCACATGCGGGTCTGGGGCCCGAAGTTGAGTGAACTTGGCTTACCCCCTGCAGTGCAACACCAAGGAGCTGTCCCCTGCCACTTTGGAGAAAAGACGGCGGCGGAAGCAGGAGCGGGAGCGGAAGAAGAGGAAGCGCAGGGAGCTGAGAGCAAAGGAGGTGGCCAAGGCCACGGAGGCCACAGAGGCTGTGGTGCCGCCTCCCGAGGCACCCAGCCAGGAGGCACAGGGGCAGCCAGGGCTGCTGTTCAACAAGGTGAGGGCTGGTGCGTCCTGGAAGCGCGGGGACCCCTGGCTGCGGCTGCCCCCCTGAAGTGAGGGTCGTGGCTGTGCATGTCCCGGGCGCTGCCAGGCTGCCGGGCCGCGGTAACGTGCGGCGCCCTCTTCCCAATTTCTCGAGAGGTGGAGGTGAGCGAGGAGCAGCCGACCAGCAAGGCCCAGCGCAGGAAGGAGAAGCGGCAGAAGCTGAAGGGGAACCTGACGCCGCTGACCGGTAAGAACTACCGGCAGCTGCTGGAGCGGTTGCAGGCGCGGCAGAGCCGGCTGGAGGAGCTGCGCGAGCAGGATGCGGGGAAGGCGCAGGAGCTCGAGAGCAAGATGCAGTGGACCAACGTGCTGTACAAGGCCGAGGGCGTGCGGATCCGCGACGACGAGCGCCTGCTACAGGCGGCCCTGAAGCGCAAGGAGAAGCGGCGCGCCCAGCGGCAGCGCAGGTGGGAGAAGCGCACGGCCCACGTGGTGGAGAAGATGCAGCGGCGGCAGGAGCACCGGCGCCAGAACCTGCGCAAGAAGAAGGCGGCCAAGGCCGAGCGGCGGCTGGAGAAGGCCCGCAAGAAGGGCCGGGTCCTGCCCCAGGACCTGGAGCGGGCTGGCCTGGTCTGAGGGGCGGCAGCCCTGACCACTTTGGACCTGGGCTAGCCCCCAGGCTGCAGACTGTCACACTCACAGGGCCCAGGTCATGTGTTATTGAGGACAAGAGCCCAGATCCCAGACTGGGGGAAGTTGAACCAGATCTGGGCTCCAGCCTTCGCATGTGGAGGGCGTGGGGACTGGAGGCACTCGCCGCTCCTCCTTCCCCTCTGCATTCACAGGGGCAGGGAGGGAATGGCCTTGGTGACTGCCCGTGTCAGTCCAAAACTCACTCGGAAGGGACAAAAATCCAACTCCGGTAGCCTGAGCCAAAGGAGGGGCTGATGGCTCTTCACTGGGAGAAGGACGTGACCTCAGGCATGGCTGGACTTGAATTACTCTAAGTTTATTGTAAGAAGGGTAAACATTAGAGTTCAGGTTAAACATACACATTGAGAATCCTAAGATAACCTTAAAAGACAGTAACTGTGTATGTAGTAAACTAAAAGAAAAGGGAGGAAACGGATGGGGCAAGATGTCCATCCAGAAGGCAGGAGAGGAGCGCGCAGAGCGAGAGCTGGGAGGTGAGTGCAGATGCAGAATAAGGGGAGGGTCCAGCCCAAGCCCACGGGCGGTCACATGAATGCCAGCTGAAAAGGCTCCGGTGGATTTTATGGTGATGTGGATTATATTTCAATAAAGCTATTAAAGTTTTTTTTAATTACACTCCAGTTATGAAGCAGATTGTAACTGCAAGGAAGCTGGTGTGGCTGTTACTGGACAAAGTAGACTTTAAGGTGGAAAGCACCACTGAAGATGAAAATTGGGAAGGGGTTCAGTTCACAGGCCCTTCGCCTGCACCAATAGCTCCCAGGCTATTTAGCAAACAGCTGCTGGGAGAACTCAGTTTACATATAAAAGGGGGGGTTAACATCTCTCTTAGGAATTGATACACCAGACAGACAAAAACCAGGTGGATACCGAAGGTCTGATGGTAGTGTTTGCAAGCGTGATCTAATGACATGACAGTGTCAGGAACTCTGATGGGAACCCACCACCTGCCAGTCCATAAAGCAGCCTTATATTTCAAAGGCTGGGCATCATACAAAGGATATGACCTGGCCTTAGCATGATTTAGTTTAAAAAATTTAAGAGTTTATTGATAAAACTTCATGTTTGGGCCAGGCAGACGTGACTCAGTGGTTGAGCATCGGCCTATGATCCAGGAGATCGCGGCTCAATTCCTGGTCAGGGCACATGCCTGTGTTGGCTCCATCCCCAGTGGGGAGGGGGGTGCAGGAGGCAGGTGATCAATGACTCTCATCATTGATGTTTCTATCCCTGTCCCTTCCTCTCTGAAATCCATAAGAAATAAATTGATTTTTGGAAGTTTAAATTACCAAAATTAATAATTCCTAATAGATATTAAAGAATGTTGAGGGTGGAAAGATAATGGAAGTGCTGTGCATTCAAGTTTGTGGGAGGCAGGTAAAGCAGTGCGGGAAGCACAGCCTTCCAGGGTGTGTGTGTTTACTCTCCGTGTTGTGTGCTGCCAAGGGGTGCTTTGTGCAGCACAATTTCCTGCCATCTTGGTTGACCAGCCCTATCCCAGGATTCTGTTGTTCCACCCTCTCTGCACCCAGCAATTTCTCCAGATTGTTTTTCATCTGTCCCAGAACTAGGTTCTGTGCACTTCAGGTGCAGGAAATACGAACGCAAAGTCGCAAGAGAAAACTTCCAAGGGCATGTGCCTCGGTTGCAGGCTCAATCCCTGGCCCCTGTTGGGGCGCGTGCGGGAGGCAACCAATCGATGTGTCTCTCACATCAACGTTTCTCTCCCTTCCACTCTGAAAAGCAGTGGAAAAAATATCCTCGGGTGAGGGCTAAAAAAAAAAAAAAAAAGACATCTGCTCTGTGAAAGACTGTCAAAAGACTGAGAAGACAAACCACAAACTGGAGAAAATATTTGCAAAGGACACATCTGATAAAGGACTATTATCTAATATATACAATGGACTTAAAACTCAATGATTACAAAATCAACAACCTGATTAAAAATAGGCAAAAAACACGAATACATAGCTCACCAAAGAAGACATACAGATGGCAAATCAGCTTATGAAAAGATGCTCAGCATCATGTCCAAAATCCAGAACACGGACAGCGCCAAGTGCTAGCGAGGATGTGGGGCAACAGGAACTCGGTCACTGCTCTTGGGAATGCAAAACGGTGCCGCAGCTTTGGGAGGCAGTTTGGTGGTTTCTTACAAAACTAAACATACTCTTACCATACGACCCAGCAATTGTGCTCCTTGATATTTACCCAAACGAAGTGAGAACTCTTTCTACCCAAAAACTGGCACGTGGATGTTTATAACAGCTTTATTTATAATTGCCAAAACTTAGATGCAACTAAGATGTCTTTCAGTAGGTGATGGAGAAATGAATGGGTCCATCCAGACAGCGGGATCGTGCTCAGCACTGAAGAGAACTGAACTATCAAGGCATGAGAAGACACGGAGGAAACAAGCGCAAACACTGTGAAAGAAGCCAATCTGAAGAGGTGCAACTGTGATTCCGTCCCTGTGGCATTCTGGAAAAGGCACAACTATGACGACAGTGAAAGGAATGTAGGCTCCAGGGGTTACGTGGGGAGGGAGGGATGAGTAGGTGGACCACGGGATTTTTAGCAGTGAAATAATCCTGTATGCTCCTACGATGGCGGGAACGTGTGTCAAAGCGCACAGAATGCACAGCACCAAGAGCGAGCCCTCCTGCAGGCTGGGAGTTGGGTGGTGATGGGGCCAGCGCAGGGCCACTGATTGTTAACGTGCCTCGTGCGCGGTGCGGGATGTTGACGGTGGGGTGGCTGTACGATGTGGGACGAGCGATCCTACGGCAACTCTGCTTTCCCCTCAGTGTTGCTGTGAACCTGTAACTGCTCTAAAGAAGGTACGTTTATCGGTTAAGAAAACAGAGCCCGCCCGTTGGATCTGAAAGCGTCAGTAGGAAGGACCACGTGTTACTCCTGCTCACACTTCACGGCCCAAGACAAGTCACACGGCTGCGCCCAACTCCCAGCAGGCACAGGAATGCAGTTCTACCCACACCTGGAAGAGGCCCCCGGACATTCTGTTTGTTTCTTAAACTTTACCCAAGGAGATGTTTTTACTGATTTTAGAGAGAGAGGAAGGGAGAGACAGAGAAACATCCATGTGAGAGAGAAACATCGATCGGTCGCCTCCCATACATGGCCCGATGAGGGATCAAACAGGCAACCCAGGTATGTGCCCTGACCGGAAATCGAACCCACAACATTTTGGTGTACGGGACGATGCTCCGACCGACCGAGCCTCTCGGGTGTTGAGAGTCCTAACACCTGAGGAAATATGCCCGCCACCACTCCTGGTACAAATACTTATATCGGGGCTCTTAGTTGCAGGCTACGGAGGATGACTGTGTTGATTTAAGCGTGACCCGAGAATTTTACACTGAGCCAGACCAGACTCTTATTCAAGTGTAAAGACAACAGACAAACATCCTGAACATACAAAAACTCAGGCCTGTTGTTTCCATGAACCTTTTTGAAAGAAGTGCTAGAGAACAGGCCTCTGCAGCCGCACTGCAAATAGACAAAGGTGACAAAGAAATGACTGGTAACAGGACCCAATTTAAATATAGAACCAGGTCATCAGCAAGGGCGAAGACTGTAGTTTCAGAATGTAAGTAGAAATTAAATAATTCTCACAAAGATCAAGAAAGGAAAGGGGAGAGAAAAGGGGGTTTCTTCATTGTGAGAGAGATGAATAAATGATATCATTTAAAGCTATAAAGTAATGGAGAGGTAAGTATATTTAGAGTAAATATTTAGATTACAGGTGTGGGGAACACTCGGCCTGCGCATGTTCTGGCCTGGCCCTGCCAAGGTCTCACCAAAGAGAAGCAGTTCCAGCCATCACATTAGGGGTGAGTTAAATGTTTGAGCAAATACAGCAGGCTAATTTTTAAGTTGATAATTTTATATGGCCTGCAAATGATGTTATAAATATCCAAATGGCCCTCGGCAGAGAAGAGGTTCCCCACCCCTGATTTAGAAGAATCACCACATTGGGTGAGGAGGGAAAAGAAGGAGGAAGGACAGAAGAGGAAATCAGCTAATCTCGTCATTCGTAACAGGGCGTAAATATATGCATTGTTTAAGTAAACAGGGTGGAAGGTATTCCGTGAAGTTAGTCATCCGAGTGGCTGAGTGGTTGAGCGCTCGCCTATGAACCAGGAGGTCACGGTTCGATTGCCCGTCAGGGCACATGCCTGGTAGGGGCCTGCAGGAGGCAGCCGACCAATGACTCTCATCATTGATGTTTCTCTCTCCTCCCTTCCACTCTCTGAAATCAATAAAAACATTTTTTAAAAAAATTCCACAGGCTTAAAAAAAACAAACCATCTGTGGGGTAACCTCGGACAAGCACTGCCAGCAGTGGGGTGAACATGGACACGGTGCTCCAGCTGGGAGCCGAAAAGGCTGAGCTCCATGGAGACCTGGGTGGCATCCTGGGAGGTGGCTTGGGCAGCCATCCCTGGGCTCTGGTTCTGCGAACCCTCAGTGGCCACACTCACTTTGAACTTGTGCTTGCCCTTGTTGGTGCAATAGCGCACCTGCCCATCACTCAAGGAGACAGCGCAAGTGTCCCTGTCAGCCAGCTCCTCCCCGATCTCCTGGTTGGCGCTCTGCAATGACAGTGACCAGCCAATCTGGAGGCCTCAGAGCCCTGCCTGGCCCTAGTGGCTGCTGCTTCTGCCCCCTCAACCTTCTGGCCCGGCCCTGTGTCTGCACAGACTTCTACTTGGAGGAAATGAGATTCACCTCCAGGGCCCAGGCATGTGCAACTGGTGTGCACAGATGGCACCCGAGCTGGTGTTTGGTCTTCAAGCCGGGTAGTGGGTGTGACAGGGTGGAGTCCAGGGCTGTGCCCAGTGATCCTTCGGCCCTAGGGGCAGATAAGAGAGCAGAGGAAATGAGGAAGGCATGGGTCAGACAGGAGACCCAAGAGAGGGACAGAACGACTTCCTTGGGACAAAAAGTGGGTCAGCTTCCAGGCTAACGTGGATGGCCCTGGAGGATCCTGTTCAATGTAAGGCAGCCCATGCAGGACACTGGAGGACTCCACTCCTGAAGGGGGCGAGAGGGGTACAGCTCATACAGGCAGGAAGGACAAGGGTGGGTGCCAGGGCTGCGGGAGGGGCTGGGGGCTTCGTGGTGGTGGGCAGAGCTTCAGGTGCAGAAGTGAGAAAGCCCTGGAGGTGGATGGTAGTCATGGCCACATGAAACCAGAGCCTTTACAGCCTCGAAGCATCCAGACATTCCACAAGTCCACCAACCACACAAGAGAAATAGCCGTGTTAATGTGGGACTTCCCTTTCTGTGGCAGAGGAGACAAACGGACAAGAAATGCAGCCTTTTACACCCAGAGTGGGCCTCTCTGAGGGGCACAGGTGTCCTTTTGGAGCAAAAGACAGGTTTTCTTGACAATTAGCAACATCCTATATTCATGAAGAAATACCTGCTTCAGTCCTGGGGGTGCCAGCAACTCCCCAGTGAACTGAGAGTTGCCTGACGTGACAGGAATGCCACTGTCCTGCTCTCAGTGGGCAGTGGCAGTGCCTTGGGCTGGACGGGCAGCCCGGCGCCCGCCAAGAGGATCCTGATCGGGCCTCACCTTCACCTCCTGCCCGCATGCTGAAGGCACCTTTCAACTTCGAGCAGGACTCAGGAAGAGAAGGGATCTGGCTTCAAGCAGCAGTCCTGTGTGCCCTGAGCCCATGACTGGTGCAGGTCATGGAAGTGACGTCTGCCCTGGAAGTGACGTCTGGGACCCCGTTTGTCAGGAGGGGCAGGGACCACCTGCCTCATCTGAGCTGAAGGACCTAAGGAGCACCCAGCGGGAAGCTGATGGCCCGGCTGCTCCAGGCCCCAGGGAAGGGGGCCTGTCTCCCGCATTCCTGTGAGGGCTGGAGACAGGGCTGGTGGTGCCCAAAGCCAAACAAGGCCTATATTTGGGGAGTGGGGCAGTGCCAGGCCTCAACACTTCCCTCCACAGGACAGGAAAGGGAAGCGCAGTTGCGGCCCAGCGGCCATGGAGGTTGCAATCCAGGGCCCCCCATGTTCTCCCTCTGCCCTTCCCGCGCCCCTCAGCGGCTGCGGATTTCCTGGTGGTTCTTGGGCACAGCCACGAATCTCAGCTTCTTCAGGACCCCCGGCCAGCCCAGGAGCTGCTCGTCCCACAGGTACTCTGGGGACAGCACCTTGGTGGGCTTGTGGTCCAGCAGATACCTGTTCAGGTGGCTCTCGTCATGCCAAACAGCCTCGATGGCATTGGCCCGGTCAGCCATCATGGCCTGGTGACAGGCTGTGGTGAGCCGGTGAACCTCGGACACCGACCCCCCAAAGAGGGCCCCCATGTAGTAAAAGTCGCCCTGGTCCGGGGGTATGTACGCCTGGGACTGAGGCCGGCGCTCGTAGGTGAAGGCCTCCCTAGCAGCCTTGTAAAAGCCGGGGTGCAGGGTGCCGAAGAGCGGGGACAGGATCTCCACGCCCACATGGTCACGGAAGCGCATGTCCACGTCCGCGCACACGAGGAAGGCCACCTCTTTCAGGAAGCGCCGCGCACAGAAGTCACTGATCATCTCCATGCAGCGCATGGACACGTCCTGCCAGCGCGCAGCCGCTGGGACCTCGAGAACCACCAGGCGGCGGCCTTCCCGCAGCGGGACACGTGGCACCTGGGCCGGCCGGTCAGTGAAGATGTAGTAGTTGACCCTGTGTCCCACCATGAAGTGCTCCTCCGCGGACTCCAGGAACAGCTTCAGGAAGGCCACGTACCTACAGGGACAGGAGATGGAGTGGGCAGGAGGGTCACTGTGGAGCCCGGCAGAGGGACCCCAACCCTGAGGTGGTGGAGCCAGTGCACCTTCTTCAAGGAGCAGCCATGCTCCTGGCCTGGCCCGAGCAAGCTGCAGGCTCAACCTCCCTAATTCTCTGTTCCCAGAGATGGGGGGCCGTCAGCACCCCATCATTGGAAGGAGGGCCTGAGGCTTAGACGGCTGGAAACAGAGCAGCCCCTAGGTCTGCAGAGCTGGGTCTGGGTCACTCCTGTGCTGTGTTCACAGGAGACCTAGCAGACCCCCATCCCTGCCTGGCCTGAGCTGAGCACCTGCTGGCACAGCCCACCTTTTCATGCCTTGGCAGGCTGCTTGAAACCAGAGGGCCATGCCACCAGCACCCTCCTTTTAAGTGGGCTGTCCCTGCCCCCACATGGCTATCTCTACCCCTAAGGATCCTCCCTCTCAGGCTGCAGGGTGTCTTGCTGACAGGGTCCTCATAAGCTGCTGGTAGTCTCAGGAGGGGTCACCACTGAACTCACGCTCCCCCTGCCACATCATGGATCAGGTCCATCTCATGGGAAGGGAGGGGAGAGGTGGATCCCAGGAATATGAGGGGCTTGCTTAGGCCCCAACTTAAGTCCAAGGGTGTAGGCTTCTAGGTCAAGTCTGTAGGGGTGTCTCCCATCCCGGGAAGTCTTCTCCAACTGCCTCAGATGGCTGGTTCTTCCCTGAGGTCTCCAAGGGCCACCTGCCTCCCACCACAGGGACAGCAGCTCCCCCATCATCAGGCAAGTGCGCTGAGCCCTCAGAGTCCCTGAGTTTCTCGGGCAGTGCTGAGGTGCTTCCCCTGTGCCTGCCCCACACCTGTTAGTAAATCCCTCACAGGGAAGGTGGGCACTAGGGTTAAGTAGGGGACACCCCCCCATGCTGAGAGACATTCCAACACCTGGAGCCCATCCCAAAAGTCAGGTACAGCCATTGCCCTGTGAGTATGGGCTCTGGGCTTTCACCTCTGCCCCTTGGGAGGACTGGGCAGGACACCACCCCACACTGCCCTGGACACAAAGACAGACCCTGATGGCCCTGTGTCTCCTCTCTCCGGTGTCTGCCCTCTGTCATGCCACCCGAGGATATTTTCCAGAGAAAGAAAGAAAAACATTGATGTGAGAGAGACACACTGATTGGTTGACTCCCACATGCATCCCAACTGGGGCTGGGGATCAAGCCTGCAACCGAGGTATGTGCCCTTGGCCAGAATCGAACCTGGGACCCTTCAGTCCACGGGCCAACGCTCTAACCATTCAGCCAAACCAGCTAGGGCACCACCTACTTACTTTTTGATGGCAAACACAGTTAGCCCAACGGTGACATTCTGGAGCCGAAACTGCTCATTCAGGATGTCAATGTTGAAGGTGCCCTCCCAGACGATTGGGGCCAGCCACGGGGTCAGGTCAAGGACATCTTTCCTTCTGTACCGTGAGAGAGCCACACAGCAACATGTGAGCTGGCAGGAGGGTGAACACATGAGGCCCTGCGCTCACCACCCCTACGGGGGACCCCCACTCAGCCCCATTTTCTCAGCGCCCCCGGATGACCATCCTTCCAGACGGACTTGGCATCTGCAGGAAACCTACCAGATGCAAATTCAGGTGCAAACTTGTGCAAATCACCTCAACTTACCAAACACTGCACCCTGAGACCCCAGGGGGAGCTGGGGCTTGCCAGCCAAAGGGGAGCCTGCCCTGGGAGGAGGGCCCCTCACCCTCCACACTTTCTTGGGTGAACAAAGGACAGGAAACAGGAAATGAAACCACAGGGGGAAAATGGGCAGAATCTCTGTGGGGTTCCAGATTCAGAACTCAGGCAGACCAGAGAGGAAGGAATGGGCACAGCCAGTTGCAAAAGAGATTTCAATGGGACTGCCCTGCAGTGTGTTTAGGACAGCGAGAGTGACAGTAAATTCCAAGAAATGTACTCACGAGGGTGTTAGTGCCTTGGGCTGGGGATAAAGCATCCTGAAAAACAGCACAGTGTGGGGTGGGTGAGTTTCAGGAAGACCACGTGGCAGTCCCTAGCAGGAGGCAGTGTGGTCGCTGAGAGTGACTGAGGCCTCTGCCTTCTCCGGAGACCAGGAGACTGCAGGGAGCCCAGTGGCTGCCCCAGGCGCTTCCTGGACCGCGCCTCGGGGAGGGCAGAGCCTGAGTGTCAGCTTCCCTGTTTGGGTAATGGGCCGTGGAACCAAGGCCTCGGGGCTCGGACTCCCTCTGACCTGACGCGGTGGGATCTTAGGGTCCTAGCTCAGTCCACTGTGGGTGGGGAAGGCCTGCAAGTGACCTCTGCGTGGGTAGGTCGCCCAAAGAAGTAGCTGGCCCAGAGGAATAGCCCTCAGACATGCAGCCCGCCCACCTGGTCTCAAGTGGCTCTGCTGCCTTACTGGCTGGTGACAGGAACACGTCCCTGACTTGGTTGTGACAGGACCGTGTCAAGGGCAACAGCCTGGGACATGTGTGTGCAGCAGCCAATCCCAACTATAGTATTGTGGAGCCCCAGGAAAATGAGCCAGCTGACCATGGGTCATTGACAAAATGACTGCAATTTACATTCCTGGATGGCATTTAAATAGTGTCTGCCCTCTCTGGCGTGGCCCAGTTGGTTGTAGCATTGTCCTGTGCACGGATGGGCTGCAGGTTCGATTCCCGGTCTCGGTACCTATAAGAGGCAACCTATCGATATTTCTCTGTCACATCAATGTTTCTCTGTCTATCCCTCTCCCTTCCTCTCTTTCTGTGATCAATAGGGTTTGAGCCTCGAGGAGGAAGGAAATTCTGACGGGTGCCCCATGTGGATGACCCTTGTGGTCATTGTACTGGTGAAATAAGCCAGTCACAAAAGGACAAATACCCTGATATGACGGCCCTACACCAGTCATATTCATAGAGACAGGAGCTTACCGGTGCCTGCGGGAGTGGAGGGGAGTGAGTGTTTTCTGGGGACAGAGTGTCAGTTTGGGAAGGTGAGAAAGTCCTGGAGAGGACGGTGGCAGTGGCTGCACAACAGCGTGAATGTACCTAATGCCTCTGAGCTGGACTCCTAAAAATGGTGAAGATGTTACGTTTTAGGTCATGCGTATCTTACCACAGTGAAAAATTTAAAACAGAAAATGCAGAGTGGCCACCGCCGCCTTGGCTCGGATTGCCTGAGACAGTCCTGGTTTCAGCTCCAAAAGAAGCCCACAGCCCAGGGCCAGCTGAGCCAGGCCAGCCAGGCCGGTCGGTCACCCCCTTCAAAGCCAAATGCCATTCAACCGGTCAAGACTGAAGCAGCAGCTACACGCGGATCTTTCCGGGGCTTGCACGGGGAGGGCACAGCCTGACTCGGGCCTTGGGGAGGGAGCAGCCATTGGCATCCGAGCACAGGACGACAGACAGCCTGTCCCCAGCGTCCCCGCCTCTGTCTCCACACACACTTGGGCTGGAAGGCATGGATCTGACGGGAAGGTACCAAAGGAAGACACTGTACCTTGGTGATTTCACGACTTGCAGGCCAGTAGGTTTTCTAGCTGCCTTGCTGCTGAATGAGAACAGAGGGGTTTTACCAGGAGAACTCAGGGTCCATGTTCAGGGATCATAGCTGGGGGTCCTGGTGGAGGGGGACAGGGGTGGCCTGGAGTGTGGACATGGACTCTGTCTAAAACATGCCCTCACTGTGGGCAGGGGGCCTGGCGCTGGCCTGTGTCCCGCATGTCTCAGGCTCAGGGACATCAGACACTGCAGTTGGAGGGTCACCCAAATCTGAGCCATAGGGCCCCACGTTCACCAGACGCTGCTGAGCTGAGACTGAGCAGGTGGTGGTTTCAAAGGTGTCTGCACGCTGGCCCCTCCCAGCATGAGGTGGGCCCAATCTCCAGCCCTACACAGGACTGGCCGTGGTCCCCAGTTTCTGACAAATCAGATGCATAAGAGCTGATGCTGTGAGACTTCTGAGGCCAGGTCACCAAAGGTGACACAGCTATGTCTTTCTTGGGGACACTGATCTTGGAACCTCCCAGCCTAGCTGATACAAGGAGGAACTGGCCTGATGCCAAGAACAGGAGGAGAGAATAGGTCCTGGCAGGGTACACAGCAGGTGCATAGGCCCAGACGCAGGACCCCAAGCTTGTCAGGATGACACAGAGCCCTGGGGTCGGGCACAGAGGTAAGGCCACAGTATGGGAGATGTGTTTGTTGAGGCAGGCAGGCAGGCAGGCAGGAGGTCATTCCTGCGACACACAGGGGACCCCGGAGGCAGGAGGTTGGAAGGGAGGTCGAGGCTGAAGCCAGATATGTGGAGTCAGTTGTGCCCAGGTGACCCTTCAAGCCAGGGACTTGGCCGAGCTGCTCTGAGAGTGGGGAGGGGGAAGAGGAGGAGACCCTGACCCACCAATGTGTCACCACAGGTGGGGGTGGGAGCCCACAGGACACAAAGCCAGTGCCCAAGGCTCTCAGGGGCACGTGAGCCCATCCCTCACCCACTCACCCTTCTCCTTCTGGTGTGGCCTCCAGCATCGGAATTCTTGGGCTCAGGACCCCCGTGCTGCGGAAGACACCCAAAGCCCTTGTTGAGGAGCATGGTCCTGGGACAGCCTGTCCATCCCCATGAGGAGCAGGAGGTGGGCGCAGGGCATGAGCCCAGAGTTCCCAGAGCAGCTGCCAGGACTCAGGTAGGGCCAGGGCAAGTCTCCCCAAAGCTTGTGACTGGTCCCAAGAAGGGACCGTCACTGTGGCCAGTGCCCCCATCTGAGCCCCTGACGCAGCTGGAGTGGGTCCCCACGCATGGCCAGCTGGGTCCAAGGCTGCCCCAGAGGCAGATTCCTAGCAGGATCCCCAACCCGCAGTAGAGCGGCCACGTGACTTCACTCCCCAGGGCCAGGACCTCCTCCATCTGGAAGCAGCTAACAGCTCGGCTCCCAACTGCCTTCCCCACTCCCAGCCACACAGCTGAGGGGGGTTCCTGGCCCTGCCCTGACTCCCCACGTGTGAAGTGGGGGGAACAGCTCACTCACAAGGTGAGGCTTCAATAAGAGGGAGTGTGGAGCCGGGGCCACTGGTGGGGCCATGAGGCAGCTGACATCAATCCCATCATTACTGTTGTGACGCTGGGGCCGGAGGGGGAACTGCTCAGGGCACCCCACCAGGATCTGATTTGTGCCCGCTGCTGCTTTTCCCCGAGCCGGGCAGAGCTACAGGGTCATGCACACTTCTTACCCCAAGAAGACCATGACCAGTGTGATCAGGAGGAAGGTCAGAAGACGAAGTGAGCAGCACTTTGATTTTTCTGGAAAACAGCAGGGGAAACCCGGTCACTCCACTCTCCTCCCCCCTCCAGGCCCACTTCTGTGTTGTGACGCGGCCGTCGGAGCCCACAGGCCTGCAGTGCACGAGAACTCATTTCTCCACATCACTCTCCCACCCTAGGGGACGCGTAGTGGCATCTCATTGTGACCTATGACTAAAACGGTGCACTGGAAAATTTCTAATTAATACACATGAAGACAGCAAAGGAGGAGCAGAACAGAACAAAAAGACACAAAACATAGCTAAAAGTCAGGTGGAAATCCAACCACAGCAATAACAACACTGAAAGGGCACAGATGAAATACTCTAGCAAAACACACAGCTGGCCTGGCCAGCGTGGCTCAGCGGTTGAGTGTCGTGACCAGGAACTGAACCAGCAACCTTTCGGTGCATGGGACGGGGCTCAACCAACTGAACCACACCAGCCAGGGGATCATTCAGCTTTTTCTTATCTGGGAAGCTCTTTAATTTGACCTTCGAGCCTAAATGATAGTCTTCTAAATGAGTAATCTTGGTTGTCGGTCCTTGTTTTCATCACTTTAAATATTTCCTGCCAATCCCTCTGGCCTGCAGTGTCTGTTGAAAAACCAGCTGACATTCTTAGAGCTCCCTTGTAGGTAACTGCTTTTCCTTTGCTGCTTTTAAGATATTCTCTTTGTCTTTAACCTTTGGCTTTTTAATTATTGCATGTCTTGGTGTGGGCCTCTTTGTATTTATCGTGTTTGAGCTCTCTGCACTTCCTGGGTTTGTATGTCTATTTCATTTGCCAGGTTAGGCAAGGTTTCAGTTGTTATTTCTTCAAATAGGTTTTCAATTTCTTGCTTGCTCTCTTCTCCTTCTGGCATGTCTATGATGAGAATGTTGGTACACTTGTAGTTGTCCCAGAGGTCCCTTAAACCTATTCTCACTTTTTAAAATTCTTTTTTTTTTTTTTTTTTGCTGTTCTGATTGTTTTTGCTACCTTGTCTTCCAAATTGCTGATTCGATCTGCTGCTTTATCTAATCTGTTGTTGATTCCATCTAATGTATTCTTTATTTCAGTCATTTCTGACTGGCTATTTTTATGGTTTCTATCTCCTTTTTTGATATTTCCTATCTCTTTGAGATCATCTGTTGTTCCCCTAAGTTCACTGAGCATCCTTATAAGCTGTGTTTTGAGCTCTGCATCTGGTAGATTGGTTGCCTCCATTTGGTGTAGTTCTTTTTCTGGAGTTTTTGTCCAGTCCTTTCATTTGGGCCATGCTTCTTGGCCTCATTCTGGCTGCCTCCTTCTGTTTCTTTCTATGTATTAAGTAGAGCTGCTACATCTCCCAGTATTGGTAGAGTGGCCTTAAGTAGTAGGTGTCCTGTGGGGCCCAGTGGCACAGTCTCCCTGGTCACTGGGGCCAGGTGCTATAGGGGTGTCCTTTGTATGGGTTTTGTGTACCCTCTTGTTGTAGTTGAGTCTTGATTGCTGTTGACGTGTCAGTGGGTGGGATTGACCCTCAGACTGACTGGCTGTGAGGACTGGCTGTGACTACAACAGACAAGCTGTTGTGTGTGGGATGGACCCTACAGAGCAGGATTTGCTTTAGCAGGGCTCTGGTGCCTGCCAAGTTCACCCTTGGGTGTGTTGTTTGTGGAGCTAATGGGGTGGTGCTCTGTTGTAGTCTGAAGCCAGCCACAAACTGTGTTGGTTCTGGGGCCTCATGGAACAGGACTACCTGTGTCTGGCCTGGGGCGACTTGGTAGGAGATACAGAGTGATCTGTGGTATAGCTGCCTGTGCTGGGCTTGGAGGTGTCTGGGAGTGGTTATGCTATGAGCTGAGGCTGGCTGCCACTAGTGCTGGACTTAGGGTTGCCTAGCAAGAGGTACAGGGCAGGCTGAGGCCAGCCGCTGCTGGATTGGTGTTTTTTTTTTAACCTTTGAGAGACTTTTAGAAAAGTCCACAGGGCAGGTCCAGGCCTGTTTGCCAACAATTTAGACAATTTAGATGAAATGCACAGATTGTTGAAAGACACAAACTAGAAAACTCTTAGAAGAAAACATAGGACTAAATGTTTGTGACACTGAGTTAAACATAGAGTTCTTACATATAACACCAAAAGCACAAACAATAAAAGAAAAAAATGTTAAATTGGAGTTAATCACAATGAAAACTTTTGGATTAGGGGGACTGGATGAAAGAAGGCTTACCACCTGCCAACTTTGTCCTTTACTGTCATCTCCAAGGCTCTCTATGTCCCGTTTCTTCCTCTCTATCGGACTGTCTCCCTCCCTCAACCCCCTGTCCTCCCTCTCTCCCCTAACACGTTCGACTGATTTCCCTGGGGGGAGGGGGGCAGGCTTCCCCTGTGCTGGGTCCTCTCCTTGGCACACTCGTGTCCTAGACTTTCACACACAGGGTATGTCCCCATTCATGTCTCTAAGGCTACCTCTTCACCTGGCTCACTGTGGCAGGCCAGCTCCTACTCCTTATCAGGTATTTTAAAATACCAGTTGAATAAGTAAACTGACAAAAGAAAATGGGGAACCTGAGAATGGGGACTAGTTTGCCACATTTCTCAAAAGACCTAAACATCTTAATCTACAAGTTTGCATCCAGTCGCCTCATGGGCCAGAGAGCACTGGAACCGGGGGTATGGAGGCCAGCAGCAGAGTCCCTGGTCCTCTGAGGGTCCCAGAGCACCTAAAACACTGGTCCGTGGAGCCTGAGGCCGACTAAGGCAGCATAACCCCCGGGCTCCAGGCAGGCTTGGGAGATGTGTTCCTGACCTTGACCGGGGCGACTGTTCCACAGGTGTCTACATGGTGGGCCGGAACTTATATAACCGTGCACTTTTATGTGTGACGTGCTGCATAAAAGTTATTAAAATAATTGGAGAGGAAGGAGAGCAACCAAACAGGGCTGAAGAGGGGGGATGGAGAGGAGCCCAAAGGGATGCAGGGTGCAGAGGCCGGTCTTCCTGGTCACACAGACCTGGATTCCAGACTGCACTCTGTCCCCTCCAACACCTGGGATTTTCGACAGTGTTCTACACTTGATAAGCCAGTTTTTCAGGAGTGTATTATCCACCACGTTTCCTGAAGGGTCAGCGACCTTGAGCCGAGTACTGGTCCACAGTCCAGATTGACACTGCCCCTTGGGAGCAGGGGCGCGACTTGGCACCCATCCAGGCGGTTCTCTCGGAGACTTCCCCTCTCTTCCTCCTCTAGCCTCCGGGCCGCCAGCCCTCCTGGCCCTTCTCCCCCAAGCCCAGGTGAGCCTCTGCTCCATGTCATGCCTTCCTGAACCCAACCCAAAAGTTCTGTCCCCAAATGTGTATACACAAACTACGCTGAGTGCAGGGGCCGTTTATCCCCTGTGGCACTTCAGTCCTGGTTCTCGGCCCCCTTTCCCAGCCCTGCAGCTGCACCCCGCGCCCACGCGAGTGCATTCTGCTCTCCGGGATGCGGAGCCCACGGCGCACGAAGAGTAACTGCCCAGCCTGGAGCTCGGCCAGGCGAAAACAGGTGCGCAGGCGACTGGGGACCAAGGCAAAGGGCCGAGGCTGCGCGGGCGCCATGAGGGGCCCAGGGCCTGCTCCAGGGGGCTGGGGGAGCCCGCCGGGCCGTCAGCCGCCGGAGTCCCCGTTCAGAGAGAGGCCGGTGTGTGCACCGGGGGGCGGGGGAGATTCCTGGAGACGGAGGCGCGTCCACAGGGCCACCGGGCCTAACCAGGACCGAGGACCCCGAGGCGAGCCCCTGCGCCTGCCCTGCCTGCGGGGTCCCGAGCCCCCAGGGTCTCAGGAGGCTCCAGACCTCCGCCCGCGGCCGCTGCGCACCGGCTCCGGGGGGTGGGGGAGGCCCTCGAGGCCCGCGGCACCGGGCGCACACCCGGCTCAGCAATCGGGGTGCCCG